TTTTTTTTTTTTTTTTTTTTTTTTTTTTTTTTTTGTCTTTTGCCTTTTGTTGTTGTTGTTGTTTATTGTTGTTGTTGTCTTTGATCCGATCAATCAATCAATCAATCATTCAATCAACAATCAATCAGTCAATCAAACGATCGATCAAGGATCCTCTCGTATCATTTGATTCGATAGGATCTTGATATGTCAAGACTCTATCGAATCAATCAAATCGACGGGATCCTCGATCGATAGTTTGATTGACTGATTGATCAGACCAAAGACAAGAAAACGGGGAAAAAAAAAGCGCGGGTGGAGGAGGAGGAGGAAGAAGAAGAGGGCAAGCAGGAGGAGAAGGAGGAGGAGTAAGAGGAGAAGGACGAGGAGGAGTATAAGGATGATGAAGAAAAAGGAGGAGGAAGTAGAGGTGGAGGAACAGGAGACTGCGGCAACAGAGGAGTAGGGAGAGAAGGAGGAAGAAGAAGATGAAGAGGAGGAGAAGCAAGAAGAAGAAGAGGAGGACGAAGAGGAGGAGAATGATGATGCGCAGAAGAAAGAGGAGTACGAAAGGGACGATAAGGAGGAGGCCACGTGGATGGAAGAGGTGGAGGAAAAGGACTTAGAGAATGGAGAAGACGAAGATGAAGAGAGGAGGAGGAGGAGGAGGAGGTAGTAGAGGAGGAAGAAGTAGAAGAGGGGGAGGAGGACAACGAGGAGCAGAAATAAGAGGAGGAGGACGACGACGAGGAACACAAAGAGGAGGAGGAAGAAGAGGAGGAAGAAGAGGAGGAAGAAGAGGAAAAGGAAGAGAAGGGAGGAGGAGGAGGAGGAGGAGGACGAGGACGAGGACGACGAGGAGGAAGAAGAAGAGGAGAAGGAGGAGGAAAACGAGGAGGAGGAAGAGGAGGAGGAGGAGGAAGAAAAAGAAGAGCAGGAGGAGGAGGAGGAGGAGGAAGAGGAGGAGGAAGAAAAGGAGGAGAAGGAAGAAGAGGAGGAAGAAGAGGAGGAGGTGGAGGAGAAAAATGACAAAGAGGAGGAGGAAACGAGGGGTGAGGGAGAGACATGTGGGAGGGAGAGAAGGAAAGTGGAAGTGCAAAGAATGGAATGGAGGAGAGGCAAACCGCACCGGTTTTTGAACGCTCACCGTTGGGGCAGACTACTGAAGAATTGCGCAAGAGGCGAGCCAATGTTGTCACATAAGATTTTGAGTTCAGGGGCAGCCGTTGCTTACAAGAAGTGACCATCACTAACAAGATCCGTATGAACAATGGGAGGACCACATCCAATCCTGGCGGTGGAGTTGCTGTGGCCGTGCTTGACACAGTGGAATTTGAAGAGGCGCAGAGCTGACGGATCTCCAAGACTGGACGACACAACATAGACAAATCATTTTATGTCCTTCCATCTGACAGCACTTGTGAATCATCACCTTCCTATCACAATTGAGCCGAGGCTTAGCAATTTCGAGCTAGTACATGCCTAGTAACATGTCAAATGGCAGATCATCACTCACCAAGAGCGAGATCTTATGTCTCAGTTTCGATCTTATGTCTCAGTTCCCCTACAAACTACATTCTTGACATACTATTAACATAGAATCTTGCGACCGCAGCTGTATAGGCATGGTCATTCCAAATTGGACTCGACATGCTAAGGTGTTGTTCTGAGAAAATAAACTTGGATTGCATTGCCTATACCTTCATAATCCTTACGCCAAAAAGCATGTGAATCACATGCTACCCGAATCTCGAGTGGATCATCAGCGAGCAACATTGAGCAAGTTTTTTTCGGTATCAGCAATGGTTATTCCCTCTTTGTTGCAAGAGATGTCGAGGACTGAATTAAAGTAAAGGTGTGTAGTTGTTGCAAGATTTGGTAAGCAACAACCCTCTGTGGTGGTGATAACCTTTCACACAACTCACCATCAGAGCTTCATTTATTTTCCGTCTTAGGCTTTTGTTTCTGTTGTTTTTCTGGCAAGGATGGAAAGGTCACCTTGCAAGGATGGAAAAATTCCTGACATAAAAGG